TATTACCTATTATGTGCCTTTCTCAATACTGGGCTCTAGAGGAACTGAAATCAATGGGCTATCATCTCTGGCAAATGAATAGATAAGCTTAAACTAGTGAGATAAAGGGCCATAGTAAAGTCTATACCAGGAGGTAAGAAAAATAGTTTAGGGAGTGCAGGAATCTATGATCAGTTTCCACAGTGGAATCTATTGATTATTTAAAGTTCAGAAAAGCAATAATATTTCTCCAAACCAGTCCAGTAGACCCTTAAGTTATCCTATTAAATATTTAACAAATAATCTGTCCTCCCTCTTCTGTCCTCCTCAAGAGCAGGAGGATTGGTGGTAAAAATGAGGATCATTGGCTAATAAGTAGTAATCTCAAGTTTCTATGTTGGTAGCTAAGAAAATAGCTGGTAAAAAGGCAAAAAGTGCAAAAAGGAGCATATTTACTACTAGAGGCCTGGTGCACAAATTTGTACATGGATGGGGTCCCTTGGTCTGGCCAGAGATCGAGGTGATCAGGGCCATCTCACCCAGTCCCTATAGGGGCTGATTGAGGCTGGCAGGCTGTGGGGGAGGGACCAGCGGAAGGTTTGCTAATTGTGGGAACGCACTGACCATCAGGGGGCAGCTCCTATATTGAGTGTCTTCCCCCTGATGGTCAGTGCGCATCATAGTGACCAGTTGACCAGTCATTCAACCGACCAGTTGTAACAGTCACTTAGGCTTTTATATATATAGATTCCTAACAGTGCCAATGATGAGTAATTGGGAGGAGGAAATGAAGAATAAAAGAGAATTTCAATACTCTTTGAATATTAATGGAAAATAATAGTTCAGTCAAAAAAGATAGAACTTAACAATTACAGAAAAATAAGAAAATGCTTCCCTTTATCCTTTTGAGAGCATGAATGGGGGGAAACAGGTTAGAAAAAGGGATGGAATTGGTAACTTCCATATTAGAAGTTCAACTGATCAGGATGTCTTAACAAATTTGTGGAAAATATCATGGTAATAGCACTAAGTTTTAAGCTATCCCCATTTAAATTGCCCTCCTTCCAGTCCTTCAGTAAAGTTTATCCCACCCCTCTTGACTTATGTGTAGATATAAGAGAAGCACAGTGTGTCAAATGAAAGTGTGGCTGGCCCCATTGCAAACTAGCTTCTGACTTTTGTATAGAAGAAGTAGTCCTGAGGGAATCGAACTAAGGTGGCCAGATATTGAACCAGCAGCCATGGAGCCACCAGGGAGGAGTGGAATAAGGAGGCCACACTGTGAGCTGGACTACCTGAGCAGAAATGATATAAAAGTTATCATCCTGGAAGAAGCTGAACTATGAAAGTAGAAGAGACAAATCCTGGGCTTGTAAGTACTATCCCTCATCTTTGATATTGTAGTTTAAACAAGACTCACACATCTTTTCGTATTTCTCTAAACAGAATTTTTGTATTTCTCTAAACAGAATTTTTGTGTGGTCACTGCTTTATTAACTTCCATCAGAAGAATGTAATTTCCACTTCTGTGACAATCTGTGTAACCAAGCATAGCTCTTACACAAGTACTCTATGTACTCACATGACATGGAATACTCTGTTCCAAGTTGTGCAAACTAGAGATGAAGATGTCACCTGCTCACAGTTGACAGCCCTGTGCCCCATGGAAAATTCGGGCTAAAATCTGCAGGGATATGGCATTGCTATGACTCAGTTCTGCAAATCTTCAAGGACTCACAAGCATGTATTATAAAATATGAGAGCTATATGTTCAGAATGGAGCATTTTCCAACAGGTGCAAAGTTTGATGCAGGCTCTCAATCTATTAATAACATACCTTGTCAAAAATTTCAGTATTTTCTAATATTAAAATGAAACCTCGTGGATTTCATTGGTGGGATGCAATTACTCTTGTGAAGTAGATAATATGATTTGATATTTCTCCTCATTCTAACATACAAGTAAAAGGGAAAATCACATGACCTGTTATCACTCCTATGATGTAAAACACTTCATTATTTTAGAGATGTTGGCTCTAAGGCTTAGGAACACTTGTCCAATATTAAGTTAAAATATATATATATATATATATATATATATATATATATATATATATCCCTTCCTTATCTACCCTCAGCCCCTATCCCCACACACTACAACATATGCTCCAATCACTGTTTTTTGTTTGTTTGTTTGTTTTTTTCCCTTGAACTCATCTGTCAAGTTTTCAAAACTTTCATCAACAGTTCTTAATACGTTCCCCAGTGTGACACATGTAAGGAATGACATCCCATGTACAACAACACAGTTCACATAACCATGCCCAAATTTTGACAAAATCTTAAAATTCTTCAGAGGACTTAAAAAGTGTAACAAGTCAAAGCAACCCAAATATTAACTAGAGAAAGCAGGCTGCTGGTGAGGCACGATTCCCTCCGAACAAACTCTTGGAAGCTAAGTTCTCTCCCACTCAAAGCAACGGAGTGAGCATGAATATTTATAGAGATAACCTTGAATTTTCTCTAATTTTAAAAATGTGAGTCATTTTCAAACTTTAGTTCTTTATTATATCTGCCATAGGCCACAAAAAATGCTGCTGTAGCCCTTCCTACTCTCGCATGCTGCGATGCTTACACCCATATCATGATGGTGAAAAATCTTCTCATCATCTAAGGTTCAATTTAAATGCCACTTCCTCCACAGGAGCAGTTGCTATGTGTGTCTCAGCCAAATCCTGTCTTCGTGAACCACTCAGGTTTATAACTCTTTGTCTGAGACCTTTCACTGGTTGCAGAGAAATACACTCAGTCTTCATGTCAGACGGCACAGGAGTATTTGGGAATTGACACCCCTGGGCAGAGCCCTCAAACAATGATTCACATGATTTGGTAAATAAATACATCATCTTCCTTTCTGCTCAAGTAGAACGACACTGGGATGTGTTCTCCACCATCTTTCTGAGGCCCCAGTGGGACTAATTCCAATGACCTATAACAGTGATCTACTTAATGCCCTGCTTGGCTTCCTCAGATCCCCTCCCAAATAAATCTTGTCTTCAAATACAACTTTCTACTTCTAGGGAAATCAGACCTAATATTCATTGGAAATACTTTTTCAGTGACCCTCACAGAAAATACCTCCCCCTTCTGGAGTCCTTTAACACTTTGTTACAGTAAGGGTAGAGTTGTACAGGATATTAAAAAACACAGCGAATTATAGATATACCTGCCCCTCACCAGAGGCACTCAAAGATAGGAATTATGATTTCTCTTTATCTTTATCCTCAAATTGCAGAGCACTGCACTTTGCACATTCCTAGTACTTCATAAGTATTTGTTCATTGGAATTAATATTAATACATTATAATATGAAAATAGCAATTCTTGATGTTTTATTCTAAGATATTACTTATAAAGAAACATTGAGGAGTGAAGATTTAGCATAAAAATAATAGCTAGCTAACGCATTTGATTAAACTCTTTTCAGATTCCCTTTAAAAATGTACAATAAGTTGTCCAAAAGGGAAGCATTGTAGTAGCACGATAAACTAATTGCAACAGTAAGATAACATAATAAATCAAGGGGGGGAAATGCAACCTAGTGTAGAAGCAGGAAAATTTATTCACCTGTCACCTCGCCAATGTGTGTGGATTAAGGAACACAATCATGAGCTAAGACATGCTCAAACTTAAAAAGAATAGATCAGCTTGGAAGTGGGTAGAAAGAGGTTAGGGCCACCACCACTCTTTGCTTCTCACTCAAAGCACAAAGCTACAGCAGGACAAAAGCCATTCTCATATCCTTCATTACACCAGGATTATCTTTGTAAGGAGGTACCATCCTCCCAACTCCTTCTTCAGCCTCCTTTCAGAGCTCCATGTGCAGCATGATGAGAAGTTGAAAGCAATGGGGAGGGTGCATAATGGACAAAAGCATCCTGAATGCCCTCTAGGGCAAAGCATGCTATGCGAGGACAGAGAACAGGGGTAGATTGGCAGGATCTTACCTAGTCAAGAAAGAGCTTCTATAAAATATAGCATTGCTTTATGGTCAAGAATATAGACTGAAATCAGACAGACAAAGGGTGAGGTTCCACCTCTTCTTACTACATGTTGCAAGATTTTGAGTTAATTTAGCAAAACCTTAGTTTTCTTATAAGTAATATGTGATAAGAGAAGTAGCTCTCTCATAGAGCCCTTAAGAGGATTAAATGAGGCAAATAATGTAAAGATCTCAGGAAAGTGCTTGTTAGAGTAGCTAAGATTATTTCCTCTCCTTTCTCCTCCTCCTCCTTCCTGTCCCTCCTCCTCCTCATTAACGTTGTCATCACTCATGCATTCTAAATATTCAAAGAATGAGACAGTTGAAGATGAAAAGTTTCCACTTCAGTTCACCAGATCTATGAGAAATGAATGCTTATAGAGCAATGAATTTGGCTTACGCAGATCAAACTAACATCTGGCTTTATAGCTGAGAAGGGAATTCTCTCAATTTCCAAGTGGATGGTCAAAGTGAATGAGAGTGATCAAACCCCTACCTGCTACAAATATGGGACCAATATAGATTGCTCCTTATCTATCTATACTAATAAAAGGGTAATATGCTAATTAGACCAGGAGACTTTCCTGACGTTCTTCCAGACAAAGCCATGGTGGCAGGGCTGAGGCAGAGGTGATTAGGGGTGATCATACCAGGAGAGGAGGGCAGTTAAGGGTAAGCAGGCTGGCGGGGAAGGCAGTTGGGGGCAAGCAGGCTGGCAGTGGGGGACAGTTGGGGGTGATCAGGCTGGTATGGGGGTTAGTTGGGGGCAAACAGGCCAGCAGGGGGGCATTTGGGGGTGGTCAAACTGGTGGGGGGGTAGTTGGAGATGAGCATGCTGGCAGGGGGGAAGTTGGGGGTGGCAGGGGGCAATTGGGGGTGGCAAGGGGCAGTTGGGGGTGATCAGGCTGGCAGGGGGGCAGTTGGTCCTGGATTGCAAGAAGGGACCCAGATTGGAGAGGGTGCAGCCTGGGCTGAAGGACTCCCCCCTCCCCCAGCCTTGTGCATGAATTTCATGCACTGGGTCTCTAGTATATATATAAAAGGCTAAATGTTTGACTATCTGACCGGTTGCTATGACGTGCACTGACCACCAGGGCACAGAGGCTCATACAAGAACTGCCAAGCTGCAGTTACTTGGCAGTGGCAGTTCTCAGGTGATGCACCCTGAAACCAGAGAGGAGGGAATCCGATTCCTGCAGGGCCGCAGGATTCTACCTTTGGCTGTGGGTTATGTTGCTACTGGGGCACTGTTGGCCCCAAATCTGGTTTACTGCACACTTGCATTTGTGTCTCACATCCTGCAGACAGCAATTTTGCAGAGTGCCCTTTTGGATTCTGGCACTCCTTAGAGGGTGTCAGAGGGCTGGTTTCAGCCCAATTCCCACAGGCCAGGCTGAGGGATCCCACCTGCTGGATGGACCCTGCTCATTCCAAAGACACCAGGCAGGGACCATGGGAGGTTGGCTCCAGGGCGTGTCCGGCCCATCTTGCCCAGTCTCACCCCGCTGGCCACCTTCTAATTAATTTCCTTTCAATGTGCACAAATCTATGCACCAGGTCACTAGTTTTGTATAAAAGGAAATGAAGCAATTGATAATTCTGGGCCTTCCCAGCTAGAATGGCTCAGGGTTTGAGCATTGACCTATGAACCAGGAGGTCACCGTTCAATTTCCTGTCAGGGCACATGCCCAGGTTTGGGCTTGATCCCCAGTGGGAAGCAGCCAATCAATGGTTCTCTCTCATAATTGATGCTTCTATCTCTTTCTCCTTCTCCCTTCCTCTTTGAAATCAACACTTAAATATAATTACAGCAGAAATTGAAAGAAAAAATTTAGAAAATTTCTGCTCCAATTTAAAAAATTCATGAAATTCTAGATGATACTGCTAATCTAGAACAGAACTGTGATAAGAAAATCAAAGTTGATCAGATATAGAGAAACCACCTGTTGTTTATTAAGATGACAAGGCAATAACAATGTAGTAATGGGACTTTGGCAAAAATAACTAGCAAAATTAACTCAGCAGAATATTAAATTTATAGTGTAAATGGAAATCTTTAGAAATTCCATCAGAATGCAAAGGTAAAGATAAAGAGATAAATATGGTTTGAAGAACTAAATACAGATATCAAGGAATAAATGCCATGGTTCAATATACAAATAAAAACTGTTCAGAACTGAGAAGGTAATTCCCAGACTGATAATGGAGATCTAATAATGGAGTTTGGAATATAGAGCCAACTAAGCATTAGACATTGTCTACTTCCCACTGCATTCAACCTTCCCTATTCTTTTTTTTCATGGGTCTGTGAAACATGCCATTGGTATTTTAATAGGAATTGTGTGGAAACTATTGACTGCTTTGGATAGTATGGACATGTTCATGATGCTAATTCTTCCAATCTGTGAACACAGTATATATTCTTCTTACTGTGTCTTGCTCTGTTTCTTTAAAGTCCTGTAATTTTTTGTTTTTTATTTTGAGTACAGGTCTTTTACCTCCTTGATTAAATTTATTCTTAGGTTCCTTATTTTTTTGTTGTTGTTGCAAAAGTAAATGGGATTGTTCTCTTAGTTTCTCTTTCTCATAGTTCATTATTTGTGTATAAGAGTACTACTGCTTTCTGGATATTAATTTTATATCCTGCTGTTTTGCCAAATTCATTTATTATATCTTAGAAGTGAATCCCCAGACCTACCTTCCCCAGCTGATGCTATGTAGATCAGTAAAAAAAAAAAAAAAAAAAAAAAAAAAAAAAAAAAAAAAAGAGTCTAACTGAAGTTCTTCTGAACTCCAGATACACAATTTATCTTGAGAAAAACAAAATATGTTAAGGTCTTAAGTCTTGGGATAATTTATATTGCAAGAGATAACTGGAACAAGGGATATAAAAGAGCAGCCACCACCATTCAGGAAGGCTGCAGGATAGTTCTTAAGGGAGAACCATTTTTCATTTACAGCGAGGAAGGAGTAAGAAATTCTGGGATAAGACTGAGAATAGAATGGAGCTTTACCACAATAAAACCGGAGCTCCATGCTGGGAGAGAAGAACTTGGTGTAAGGAAGGCAGCAGCAGAGTAGAGAGTCATGGAAGGGGACCCCTTTGGAATAAGTGGACATGGACTGAAATTCCAGGTTACTGGAAGAGTTTACTTTTTGGGTGGTGGCTTGGATGACAGGATGAGGGACTTCGCCAGTTTAACTGACCTCAATAACCCAGTCATAAAAGGAAACATTGGGATATGGTTTGGTCAAAGTTCCAAATTGCTTGTCAGGAGCTTCTGTGATGCCTAACTGTATTTTCCCAATCTATGCATTGTCCTAGTGTAACTACCCCATTTAGTCCCATCGAGCTTTGCTGTGAGACTAGTAAAGGAAACTGGCTGTTCTAATCATCAAGAATGTATTTAGAATCTCTGTAAACACTTCCAGGATCTCACTCTCAGGAGTAAGGTAGCAGATGGTTAGTGGATAACAAAAAACAGAGAAAAAGTCAGAGTCATAAAAAAAACCCCTATTAAATCTCGCATCTCCAATTTCAAATCTTCCTTCTGTCACTGGCTGAAATACACTGTTATTTCCAGAGGTGCTTGTGATTTGGGTGAAAGCACAGCATGGTAGATTTTACCCCTTTTTTGAGTCAGCAAAAGGATCCAGAGATGACAGCACAGAGTGTGCGGCAGCATTAATAATAATATAAAAAACTTTCCCATTTTATTAGAAACACCTGCACTCTGAAAGCTCCACGGAATGCTGGATTTCTGACTGATGAAAGACTGAACCAGCTGACATGGGCCCAGTTCCCGGGCAGTCCTGCTAAACATGGAATGGCCAGGAGCATGGTTTCCTGAGCCGTGGCAGCTTCTGTCCACATAGCACAAATAAAGTCTCAGGAACTGTGTGGTGATTCCCAACATGTGTAGCAGCAGGAGAGGCCCTGGTTCCATGGAATAAACACACCACATGGGAACATGGAATCATTCTTCCAAAATCGTTCAGTTATCTGATGTGTAGGGGAAGTATAAACTAGAGTACTGACTATGCCAATAACCAAATGATTCCATTACAACCACTGTATGGTTAGGGTGACCAGAACAGTTGGATGGGAACAGATACTGCAGGTAGGGAGGTAAGAAAGAAAACACAGTCCAGATCCCACATGGTATTTGCCTGCCATACAAGGGAAATCTGGTGCCTAGAAGTTCAAAACCAAAGAGCCATGAACAACCTCTTTCTCTAACACCTGGCTTTGAAAGCAGATTATTTTAACAACTGAATGACAACAGAGTCGCCCAGGTAATGGATACACCTGGGTATTTAATTTCTAGGAATATTCCCTCACGAAGAGGTCCTTGCTCATTGAAATTTTACCCTTTTGTTTTTAGACATCCCACAGAAACTCTGTCCTTTGCTCTTTTTTTTTTTTTTCTCTCTGAACATTAAGATTCCACACACCAATTCCATCAGTTAATTCAATAAGCCACTAGACTTTTTGGAAAACCAGAGACAACAGTAGACCACATTCACAGGTAGCTCACGTACTTACAGTGTCAAACACAGGCACAGGCTGAAGTCTGGCTGCTAATTTGTTTCTAACTGTAAGCTTAAAAAACTCATTCTCTTAGCGAGAATATGCTGAGTTGCTATAGAAACGAACCCCTCTCCCACCTCACATTTTACTGTTCGCAGCTTTCCATGCGAAGCTGCACTGTGTCGCTTCTTTCACTGAAGAGGCAGTTTCTACCTCTTTTCCCCCCCACCACTCATATTACCACTTGTGAAGCCGATAGAGGTTGATATTTCCTCTTCCTTCTGGGGACCAAGTGAGATATTCAACAGGGTAATTAGAATAAACAATTCATCCCATTCAGGTTTACTGTCTCTCCCTTGCTTTCTTTTCCTGGAGCATTAGAAATCCATCACTGGTTTGAGATCTCTTTAAAAATGCATGAAGGGAAGAGAATTGGCAGCATAGCGAAGTGAATTTAATTCAGCCAGATTTTACGTTATTAACTCACTTCCGAAGAGCTGAATGCGGGGCATGATAGAAGAAGAAAGTGGAACTAAAATTGGACCATTGATCCTGGCATTCTCCGAGCCAAGTAGACGTGGGAAACGGGCTAGGGAAACTGTAAATGCCTTTTGACAACCGTTAGAGAGACAGAGTGCTCATTTGTTTTAATCAGGATGAGATATGTATTCAGTGGATTCTCCTCCCACACGCACTTACTACTGACTGCATGGCACCCTGATCCTGACTCAACTGATGCCAGCTTTGGCAGCCACACAGTCCAGAATTGTTGGACATGGCTTATAAGAGCAGCAGGACTTTCTCTCTATTGTTCAAAAGAAACAGGGGAGGCCTAGAAATCAGTGGAAGAGGACAGTGGGCATTGATGTGATTACATGCATGCTCAAAGGGTCTGCCTTTGAAAGGAAGAGAGTTCTGGATGCCTGTGTTTCACAATTGTCCCATGGATAAAACAGCAGAGATGGTTATTCCTTCCCATCCCCATTTGAATTCCAAATGCTCGGTTATAGACCTTTCAGAAGCAAAAGCCCAATTTCTATCTCATGTGACCTCTGCCTTTCTCTTAATGCTCTTTGCTCTTCTACAAGCATCAAGACCATTTGGGCTACTGATATCCTACTCACTTGGTAAATGACTCAGTCTATTCATTGTCAATGATTACTGACCATCCTTATTGAAAAGTCCCTGAGACCTGGGCTACCACCCCACATAACACTCTTTCAATGATGGTGTTATAACCAAATGGCCTCAGAACATGGGGCAGGATGAGACACCAGGTAAAATAACCAATAGCCTTAAAACAATTCATGATAATGGGGACAAGACTCCCACATTCACCCATGATGGAGACTCCTTATTTTCATTTGGATATTAAATGGAAGAGTAATGCAAAGACCGGAAATTTGGGGGAACACCAATTATACAAATAATTTTAAAATTTTTGTTGTGCATAATCTCTACTCAGAAAAAAATTTAAATACATATGTACAGGTTCACAAATACTAATAAAGTGAACCATATTATGTTATAAATGTCTCGTAGATCAAAAAGGTCAATGACGCCAGTAGTCTGGAATCTCTCCAGATACACTTCATCAATCATATCTCTCTTTCTCTACCCTAGAAGAAATAACTGCTCTGACTCTTATAATAATCCTT